GGTCCATCCAGCAGCTATGTTATGTTTATTTCTCAATTCTCTTGTATGTCCGGAAGAAATGTTTCTGAAATGAGTTTGGCTCCAATTTATGGAATTTCTATTTCTGGGTATTACGGTTGCAACTGTGACTAGCAGTTCAAGCTTCTGTGGCCTCCTTCAATTACACCTAATGTCAACAGCTCACAGTAGCTTTCTGCCAGAGCTCCCTCATTTTGAATAGCCGTGGAAGTGGCTGAGAATCCAGACTTCTCTCCAGGAATCGGTGAGCTGTCCTCAGCCTGAATGAGGACTTTGGAGGCCTGCAGGGGTAAAGTGTTGCTGCATGGAGCTCATTTCAAGACATCTCTACTTGGACAGTATTGTTGGCAGCCTTCTGGCACAGATATAGCTCACCCACACACTCATACGGTCAGTTCTTTACCGCCAAAGTTCAGTCCCTGAGGTAGGCAGCAATAATAAGCAGCATTGCAGGTGCAGCAGTCTGAACTGGGGGAAATAAATGAGTGTTTATCCTTCCCATCCTTGCCGCAGAGGGATGGCTAAAAGTTATCTGCTTTCTAGAGCTCTCTGAAAACTGTCAGAGCTGGAGTTGGAGCACAGGTTAAAGTCCTAGTTCAACTAAAAATTATAATTCTGTCTTTATTCGCGCTCACGCTGTTTCAAACCAACAGACATCCATCTTAGAATGTAATTCTTTGGTTCCATTTGCGCTTTGGTTTCATTAATCTGAACTAAATTGGACAATGCTACAGGAGGCCGCCTAATAGTTGTTTCATTTCAACTAGTGTTATGCATGTTTTGGAATATTGTATAAAAATGCTTAATGGAAAAGCCAAGATGAGCATAAATGTTAAAAACGCAGACTGAAAAATATGTATGCGCACAATTGACCGGGATCAACTTTTTAATCCAATACAAACAAAGTGCACATAATCTATGTTGAAAAACAATTCCTGCATTCGTATAAACAAACAAACAAACAAACAAAAATAGACGGATGAACCAAGATGGAATATTTTAACAATACCAGTAAGCGAAAACGCTTTAGTTTTGGAGGCCGATAATACTATTTTTCTATTTTCACTGCAACGACAACAACTAACAACAAACACATATAGTGAACAATTCTAAATTAAATCTATTCATTTCTATGACCAACTTCAATTTATATGATGAAAATTTATTGCTTACATAAATTGACTTAACATTGACCAAAATGCAAATAGCAATTCAATAACCAATACCAATAACCAATATCATTAGCTTAACCGATACCAATAACCGATAACACTTTAGATTTGGAGGCTGGTAGCTAATATACTGGCCTATAAAAATAATAATACTATTTGATACTGTTAATACTATTTTTCTAATTGTTCTGCCTGATTGTAAAAACTAAAGACAAACACAAATAATGAACAAGTCTGAATTGAATTGATTATTTATTTCTATGGCCAACTTTTGTTTACATAAAGATTTGTTTACATTTGTTTACATATTCCTTTACAATAAAAAGCATAAATAAATGTACTGAACGCTAACCAAAATCCAAACAGCAATTCAATGACTGAAACCTATAACCAATATCAATAACTTAACTTATACCAATAACCGATAATACTTTGGATAACTTCTTAGATAACCGATAACTCTATGCCGATAGTCAATATATTGGCCTACTTAAATACAGTAATTTGAGTATTTGTATACTTTACACCACTGAGTATAGCTAATGATTAGAGAGTTGGACTTGTGATACAAAGGTTCCCTCAAATTACTAAGATTTTTACCAGAAAACATCCACCTAGAAATTCCCAATCATGGCCTCAAACAATACACCCCTGTGAGTGTCTGAGTACTCATCCGAAAAATGATGTATAAGGTAATTACATGAGAGGGTTGGATCCCAACTAGATAAAAAAAAAAAACGTGTGGTCATAAGAGAAGCATTTTAATGCATATTTATACCATATTAGTCATGTATTTTAGCTTACAAATAAAGTAGAAATGCATATTAATACAATTGATGGAAACTTATTCTGTGGAATCCAAAATAAATAAATTTTCACCTGTCCATATAATGAAAGTCAGTGTGGTCCAGAATGACTTTGGAGGCTGCTCATTGAACAGAGATGAGCGAATTCCTTCAATCATGTTCGCGGTGACCTTCAAGAGTTGTTAATTCATCAACTCTCATGAATCACCACGATCCCCTTCGTCAGCTGCCTAATGTATGTGTTATGCATGTGAAGGACGTAGACGTGCTATTCATTATGGCCCATCTCTTGCTTTAGCATAATGGCACATTGTGTCAGTGTTATTGATATATGTTGCACTAGAAGCCCTGAGCAATTTTCCTCAGCACTCCTATAGATTAATGATTGCGTAGATGCTTGATGACTAGCAGGATGGGTCATAACATATCACAGATTGTCCATGAATTCTGTAAGAAGGGTGCGGAGTATGTCATATTGTACGGATTTGATACACCAAACATACAGCTTAGTAACCAAAGACCATTTAAGGTTTCACTTCAGCTTTGACGTATGAGGAGAGGATACAGTGACAGCTGTGAAAGGTCTTGCAAGAAACTTTGAATGTCTTTTGAATAATACGTTTTGCCCTTTCTTGAAGTAGTTTCTCCAAAGCTTTGCACCACTGATGCAGTCCTTTGTCAAGTTTCCTTTGTTTTTTATTCATCGTCAAGAGTTTTCTTGCTTTCTGATTTATACAGAATAATATATCCAACAAATAAAACATGTTCATCAAATATTCCCTTAAATAAATTGTAGTTATTTTCTCTCCATGCTTTAAGTAAATAACCTCACATTTTTACAGTCATAGTCATTCAGAAACACAAATAGCTAAAATTTTTGTTGCAAGCAATTGTTTAAGAGATCTTTGTAAAGGAATTCCACTGTTCAAACTTGTTTAGAACATCTTTGTGAATAGCATTCACATAGACAAGGGACACAGAAAAAGACTTATACTAAAAAGTCTACTAAACAAAGTAACTCGCTCAATAATAAATTGCCTATTCCAGTGAGTGTGTTTGTATTCTATACCTGTCAACCCTCCCGTTTTTCCCGGGATTCTCCCGTATTTTACAGTTATATCCCACTATCATCCCGTAAAGGTATTATCCTGTATTTCTCCCGTATTTCAGTCTTTCTCTGAAGGGTGGCAAAAAAAAAACATTAAAGACCCGAGCCTCCCTATTCTCAACCCATACCGCCGAACCACCCTTGTTCTTTTTAATGTGAGTCTGTTCTGTGCTTTTACTTTGTTTAGGCATAAAAACACAGAAATAAATGTAAACACTGCGCAATACCCTTCCTTTTTCATTAAAAGTGCCGTCTCCCCTCCATATGCAATCCTCAAAACAGTCATATAGCAGTGCGTGACTGTCAGCTGACGTGCTCCATAGTGATAAATAGACGCTGTTTCCTAAACGGATTCTGTACATGTGATTTGATGGAAAGCAAAAGTCATGGGAATCCCCTATTATGGTGGCCATACAGTATTTCTTATTTTCACATCCCAGTGTTGACAGGTATTGTATTCTAATGCTAATATTTCATCTATGCTAGTGTAATATTGTATTTCATATGCGGGTTAAACAATTAGCAGCCTCCATCTAAAAGAAGTGTAACTGGTATTGCTTTACCTACTGTAAATGGGATTTAAACCAGTGTCAACATCAACAGGAGTTGGGAGTCCTACTCTCACTGCTCCATGTAGAAATTGAACCGGAATCAATCAGATAACGAGAGGCCACACAATACGGATTCTAAATACATTGCTAATCATTTTGTGTGTGTGTGCCTTTTGAAGGAACACTCCATTTTTTTAATAGGCTCATTGTACAAGTTCCCTGTAGTTAAAGCTGATCTTCGAGCCTGGCGGGAGCACTTTAATCTTAGCTTAGCATAATATTAGACCATTAGCATCTCATTTAAAAGATATCAAATCTTAGCAATGATTACGCAGCACCTGAAAACAGTCCCCATCTAGGTTTTAAGTCATATGCTATTGATACCATGACAATAAGTCAATCTAAGAGTGATAGAAAGAGTTACAAAAGAGGCAGATATGGAGGTTGGTTGGTTGACTGAATGATGGTGTTGTCCCAATCGTTTTAACATTTTCCTCTTTCACCCTTCCTCTTGTATATGCTATCAATTAAGCCTCAGTAATTGTATGTGTGTCCTGGTAAGTGCGTGTTTGCCTTTGTCCTCTGATCAAACCGCCGACTCGGACCTAATTGGGTCTGTTTGTCTTTGCTTCACTGAGCACGAGCTAGTTAATTGGTCTACATCCTTGGAGGCTCATCGATTGGCAGCTCCAGTTATCCAGTTATAGGCCTTGCGATGAACGTGTGGGTGGAACCACTTGATCTTTCAAAGCCTCGATTGGCTGATAGACATCTACTTTGATGTGTGAGCTGAAAAAAAAATGTAGATGTTTGGCTTTCCTCCCTCCTATCACCTCACACCAGACCTGGACACAGCACTTTTACTTTGAAACCAACCTTTCTCCTTCGTGCCCAGGGCGTGACATACCTTCAATTATGGCTGCACACATGCAGTAGGCTTGACCTTCATTCTGAGCTGTAAATATGGCGCCCGACGTACGGTTAGAGAGGGCTTTCAGAGCTCTGGGTTGATTTTAAACCTCCTGGCTTTTTAACAGCCCCTCAGGCTCACGCTGACAAATTCCAGCTGGAACTCCACAACTAGACTGAGATTAAAGATCTGACCGCTCAAACAGAACACTGTGTTAGAAATATGAGGATCTGGGCTGGGCTAAATACAAGTTATTAGAATATCGCTCGGTTTTTGTCTGCTGCAAGGGCTGGATTGTGCTGATCTGTGGGAACAGTAATGGCGTTTTGAGATGATAGTAGATGGAGGGAGGAGGAGATGTGATGCAGATATGCAAAATTCATCAAATGACTTAATGCTTCATCTGTCTCCCTCTCTTTTTTTTTCTTTCTCCAGGGCAGGACCGCAGTGAAGCAGCTCTGATAAAGCGTTTTAAGGGAGATGGCGTTCGTTACAAGGCTAAGCTCATCGGGATAGATGAGGTCACTGCAGCTAGAGGAGACAAACTCTGTCAGGACTCAATGATGAAACTCAAGGTGTGTATTGATTTCACTGACTTCTTTTTAAAATAGTGTGTGGCTGTTTATTTTGTCACTTCACAGGTTTTTTTTTCTTTTCTTTGATTGGATGTCTGTCCGACTGTGAAAATGGCAGTTGTAAATGCCTTCTAAATCAAATTTGAGATGTATTTAAATCTAATTAATCAAAGCACTTCAAGAGGTGGTCTAAGACACATTTCAAATGTAACTGGACAGATCTATTTGCATTTGGTTGTTGAAACCATATATGTACATATTTCTTCTTCCAAAATGTAAAATAGAAACATGACTTGTTATAGGCTATATGACATGGGACCCAGTCAGGTGCAATAAGGAACAAGACGTGTATGGCACCATCTGTTGCTATGTTCCGGCCAGCGCAACTGTTATTTTCACGTTTTGTGCCACATTGTTTAAATAGCAAATGCATTTGCGCCGCTTTGTGGACTCATGGGTGTGCTGGTCTAAAAAGAAGGTGTGTTAGAGTGCATTGTTGGCATGTTGCTATTTTTAGGAAATGAAATAGACTGTGCCATTGACTAACTAAAAGCTGGTCTAAAGTTTGACGCAGAGCGTGTTAGTTATGTGTCTATGCAGGTTCAAACACTTACACATTGCTTAATACACACATGATATACAGCAATACACAAATATCTTTACATATGAAAAAAAATGTAAGGATTAAAATGTTACAAAATTATTATTTTCTACATAATTATAAAAACCACTGCCTCCATGTCTTCATGTCGAGGAAACTAAAGAGGCCAAATGGAGGAGGTTAGTTATTTATCCTCTCACTGCAGGTCTCACTAGCACTTTACTCACTAGTGAAGCATTCAGTTTTTCTACTTACAAAGTCCACCATGTAATAATAATAATAATAATAATAATAATAATAATAATAATAATAGCAAATGTGCCTTGGTGCAATGCAGCTGATTTCTAAAAGGAATGTGAGATGAGACTCTGATTAGTTTATTCTTTGTTATACTCAAAACACACCCATAACTCATTAAGAGAATAGGCACAACTTTGTTATACCATGCACCAGTGTGCAGACCATTCTATCACACCCTTAATGCTTTTGTGCCATGGACTTTTGACTTTATGCTTAGATCATTAAAATAGAGCTCAGTCATATATAACAGCGCTAATGCAAAATGCAATGCCACTTATTACAGTTTAGTATGTTTGTTTTGTTAATTTATTCATTTTTATTATTATTATTTTTGATTGATTTATATTTTTGACCAGTCATTAAATTATCAAATTTGATTGTTAAATTAACATACAATCCCAGTTTAAGAACAAAGTCACTTCATGCACCTTAAGAAGCCTATTTCTGTTAATAGTGCATAAGAATTATTTAAATAAAAAGACTGCTTCGTTCGATTAGAAAGGTAAAAAATAAGCCCTCAACAGCTTTGAATGAGGTTTTACTGGAACATTAGTGAACCACAAAGCCTGTAGCCTACATAAATCTATTGAATAAGATATATAGCTTACATTTCTGTAACACAACTTATGATAAATAACAATAATAGTAATTAATAAAAAGTAAATATAATATGATAAATACAGTTTAGTTCCCTAGCTATATCACATTACAATATTTTAAAAACACATACATTGATAAATGGACTGTTGTTGTTTATTATAAAGTAATATAACTCTAAAAATAAATATCGAAACACAGTTTTAATGTTTATTACAAAAAAAGATGTATAATTTGCATATAATGTGGGATTTAAAGATCAAAATCATATCCGTTTGTTATTTTTTATGTGACCACGTGTAGAAGGAACCATTTTCACATCATCCGATCTAAACACATGCAGTGACCAGGTGCAAACCGCCCCTATGATACAGTCTCTTTGGCAACCCTCATTTATATACCTACATAAAGGTGAACAAACCACATCCATCAGATTGTGTAATGAGCCATGTGAACACCAGGGGGTCACACTACCGTGTGAATGCGTGTTGCTCTCTTTGTGTATGCATATCAACTCCTGAAACACATAAATAGACATTGATACATGTTGTCTTGATGTCTGGAAAATCAGCGTTAAGCTCGCTATAAATTGTACTCTTTTCAGCAGAGATCAGATTGGTGTTTGAAAGAGGGAGGCAATTCCATCATCTGATTTGCATGTTGGTGTGATTGGAATGTCCAGACTGCTATTGATCAGAGCTGTTTACCTCTCACTCATCCAGACACATAATCTATACTCATATTCCCACAGTCCTCCACTCCTTAGCAAACAAATGAGTCCCACGGTGTCATTTTTAATCTCTTATTCCCCTCTCTCACCTTTTATGTCCCTACGAAGAGTTTAAACAACAGTTTGACTCGAGTCTTTTCGCATAATCCCCATCCCCCGTTGATAAAGGCATAACAATCATCATGTGATGGTTTTTGCTATGGACTTCCTCCCTTAACTGCACTGGATTGCAAAAAGAAATTACGATCTTCTATTTCTCTCTCTTTTTTGCTCCTGTATGCACACATTTCTATATCCGATTCAAAAATGTCAAGAGTTGTGCTCTTTTCACCACAATCTGCCAGCTACTGGCATTAGAATAGTTAATTTATCATCCCGCCAGCACATATGGATATGCATAATGGTGTGCTAACGTACATCATAAGACTGACGGATGCACTCAGAAAGAAGATCAAGAAATGGGCACATCTGATTGGCGAGGACTAGCACTGGAAGGCTGGAGGGCTCCAGCTGCTTTGGAGAAACGCCCACGTTTACACCCACACACCCAAACGCACACCTTGGAACCAATTTAGACTTTTATTCAAAAGCCAGTTTCGACATTTGGTTTGTCGTAATTGCACATTTCTGATTTGCAAATCTGGTGCGATGAGTGGGTTCTAAAAATTGAATTAAAAAAAAATTAAAAGTGCAAAAGCGTCTGCAGTGTGATGTCTTCTCGTGGCAGTGACAGAGTCTGGCAGAGGCGACACGCAACCATCTGGGGTGACACTTTTTCCTCTTCGTGCAGCTCTCAGCTTCTCTATCACTCATTTGTTACTGAATGATGTCGCTTTTTCTTTTTTTTTGTTCTTCTTGTTGACAGTTGATCGTGTCCTGTGTGAATTGTGTGTGGGTGAACAGTACAAACTAGGCATTCCATTAAATTAATTATAAAAAAAAACATGAATTGCTAGCTCATTTATACAAACAGAATATGGACTCATTAATGTCCCATGAAACAAAAGTATATTTTTAGATATCAGTATTGTTCGTTTTAAGGATATATAAGATAGTGTGCTTCAAAACGGTGACAACATGAGCACTTATAAGATATAAACATATAAAGCTTGTAGTTTGTCTTTTCCGCCTCACGGTTTTATTCACGTCATATCATACTTCAGTTTCTCATCAAATTTTTTCTGATCAAATTCAATTGAATTCAATTCATCTTTATTTTTAGCACTTTTACAATGTAGATTGTGTCAAAGCAGCTTAAGATGATAGTAGATTGAGACTGTGTAAGTCTGGTTTTCAGAGTTTAAGGTGCAGTAGGTGATCTTCCACAATGCTGACAGCTTAGAATAATTCTCTGAATCACAGTCCCTCCCCTGCCGTCTAAAGCCACACCTCCTCAAACCCTCTCTCATGTGTTAAAAGCGACTAGTGCTTGTTCGGGGGTGAGCAAGCCAAACTGACATGCTATTTCAAAGCCAATATTTAGAGTTGCATAGTAAACAATATAGGGAGAGACTAGGCGGAATAGCGGTATTTACTTGTGTTTTGTTGTTAAACTAATTAAAATCTACATTATCGATGCTGTGAAAGGTCCCTTATGAAACTGAAAATAGTCTTATCAATCTTTCATCAGAAGATTTTAGTGGCTGAACAACACCTCGTGAAGATATAACTCATTTGCAACAACAAAATCTAACATTACATCAGCTTTGCATGAAGCTAAAACAGTTTTAAAACAAAACATTACCTGTCTAAGAGAAATCCTTCAGACATTGTGTCATCCATTTTTCCAGCATGCAAGGATAACTCCAATATTGATTCAGGTTTTTGAAAAGTTTTGATTAAGCAGGTTTTTATCGATTGCGCGCGCGTGCTCTCTCTTAAGAAGGCGTGGCGATTGGCGGAGCTGCGAACAAAAGGCTGCGCAGTTGTTCAAATCTGCATTTGCTGACAGATGGTTTGGCCTACTTATCGGAATTATGAGATGTCGGCCCGACTTTATTTAATTGAATGCACATGTTTTAGTTTTATGCCTTACCCAAAACATTAAAATACATATAAATACATTTAGATCATTTACTTTAATCATTACTGTGATTAGACTGTGAAGAGACTTTCAACCAGCACAACAAAAAATGCTTCTGAAGACAATCACCTACTGCACCTTTAAATCAGTTTATTTCAGTTCAGTTTGGTTTAATATCCACTGCTGAAAGTCCAAACACTGAAGAGCAAATACATCGATGCGCAGCTCCACTAGTCCCGAACAATGCAAGCCAGTGGCGACAGCAGGCAGGAAAAAATTTCACCAACTGACGAAAGTGAAGGAAAAAACACTTTGAGGCACAACCATTTCTCCTCTGGCCAAACTTCTTGTGCAGAGCTGCAGTCTAGGCGGCGGAGACTGGAGAACGCTGGACGTCCATCATGGAGAAGCTGCAGGTGGGGAGAGGTCACCTGCTGGTGTACAGGCTGGCCTTTCAGGATCAATGCAGAGAATCGTCTGTCACTAGGGTCTTACAGGAATCAGGATCATGCCCTCCACTCCTTCATGACCACCACAGCAGCTGCTCAAGATACGGCCTGGTCCATGATTATGGAAACCTCGGGAATAATAAAAACAGACTAACATAAGCGCAGAAGCCGTTGAAATTGCAATGTCTTTTGGGAAGTGTGCGACTCAGGTTGTTTTAAATAATGCAGACTAACAATGCTTTAGAGGATTTGCATTTCAAAAGCATTTGTTTTTTCTCCTGTGTATGCTAATGCAAAGAG